CAGAGGGTGTGGCAAGAACTCTGGGTGCCCATCAATCCTGAGATAAAAGCTAAGCCCTTGGGGAGGTGACCTCAGGAATACAGGTGGAGGACTAGCCAATGACATGCATGAGAACACGTGGCCACAAATCAGACAGTTTGTTGATGGCAGTAACAAGGAAGGTGTCAAGGAGGCACAGGGCTTGGGAGTGGGTGGCTGGGGTGAAGAGAGAGGCCTGAGGAGACAGTGTGCCTGCTGGGCTGGCCAGTGGCGGAGAGAGGTGAGGCAAGGCCGTAATCATGTGGTTGCGGGCATTCACACGCTTGGCTTGGTGGTTTAACGATGAGGTAAAGTAGAAGGAAAAGGCTTTCCTTCTACTTTGTTGAACTTGCAGTTAGGGACACATTTTAATTAAATTGATTAACATTTGGTCATGATAAAAAATCATGAGAGTTTTGTAGCATAAATTAGAAGTTAATTTTGTTTGGCATTAAAAAATGGTGTGTGGTAATAACCTATGTACCTGCTTGTGTAACCCATTCATGAAATGTATATTAATTCTGCTGTAATAAGGTGCTGAGTGAAACTTTTCCTGTGTCCACAGAGTTAGAACTAGGACCCAAAGCTGAAACTACAAGTACGCAGTACCCCATAGTCTAAAAAGAGAAGCCAATAAATGGCTCGGCCAACCCCACCTGAACCCTATCCCAAGGGCTTTCTGAGAGTTTGTGCAACTGGCTGTGCTGTAATCAACTCTCCCACTTCCCACTCACCAGGCCACCCAGCAGAGGACTGGTGGGGGAGGGAAACAGCGCCTGGGCCAGGGGCTCCTCTTCCCCACACAAATGCCAAGCTCTCTGCTAGAATAATTTATGGAGACTGGAGGTGGCTTACCTGAGGGTAGGAGATGGGCATTGCTGGCTGGGTGGAGCCGGGCTGCGGAACACAGGAAGGAGTCACAGCACAGGGGCCTGAGAGGAAGGCAATGGTAGTTTCCGGCCCAGTCCCCTGTGGCCTGCGACGGTGAGGAAGAGGGCAGTTCTTTGGGTCCTCTTGAAGGAGGGTAGAAGTGAGAGGATAATCTGAAACTTGGGGCTGCCAGGGTGTCCCCAGCAGCCATGAGACACCCAGGAGCTGTGGTACCCAGAGAAGGGCATGGGGTGCCTACTGCTGCTGGGATAAAGAAAGACAGAGCTGTTACTTTCAGAGGGGTCTAGTAACAAAGAAGGCCAGGGACAAGCTGAATCCCAGTCCCCAGGGGCCACATCCAGGATGGATGTAAATGTTGTGAGGACCTGAAGCGTTTCCAATTTTGAAGGCCCCTTTAAGAAAAAGAAAACAAAATTGGCTAGAAGGGCTTGGAAGGGGCTTGTGCCAGTGAGGGGCTGTGAAGTTTCAACTTTATTCACTTCACAGAGAATCCACTTCTGCACATGCCCACCCCTCCCACCCCAGCCAACATCAGCAAGCAGCTCAGTGTTGTCAGGGGAACTTCTGTACTTCTCACTTGAGGATTGAGAGGGCAGGGTTCCCAAGGTCAAATTATGCTCTCATGTCCCTCCTGTGCTGATTATGCAGCCGGAGTTGAAGGAGGAGGGAAGGAGCAGACATGCGCTCCCCTCACCCCCAGGTCCCTGACGGGCGTGAGTGGGAGCAGACATTTAGACCAGATAGAAGGTTGGAGTGTTCAACCAGACTAAAGTTTTGAAGGCACTGATTAGAGAAACATAAAATGTGTTCTTGTTCATATCCCACTAAGTCAAAACTCTTTCATAATCTGATTATACAGATGTTGATTTGGAGTTTAAACTGCACTCTTGCAGAAAAGAATGAAGGAGGCATGAAGCGGAACTGACCATAACTAAGTGTCTCCAGAGCGCCCCTGAGGAGTAACTGAGGCTGAGTCTGGGTTTGCTCCTGACCCCAAGACTTGCTGGACATGCAGTCTTTGACCAGTCCTGTCACTGCCGGGAGCCTGTCTTCATGTGTGTGAAGTGGGTGTGTGAGGATAGAGGCTGAGAGGGTGTGGGATGTGCTTTTTCAATGGCAAGATCGCTGTTCCCTGCAAGCATTTACTCGTCCTCCTTGGGTCCCCTTCTTGGGTCCAGGGCTAAAGACAGGTTCAGGGATGGATGGTGAGGTGGAATGTCCCTGGTAGAGGCGACAAGTGGCTTTAGTTTGGGTTGGTGAGTCTCTAGATGTGACAAACAAGCCCCACCCTGCAAGAACCTAGGTTTCCCAGACATCACAGCTGTCCTTCTCCCCAGTTTCTCTACTCCCTCCCCCACTCCCGAGCCGTCTGCCCCACCCTAGTCTCCCTGTGAAAGTCTAGTCACTTACCTCCAAAGCATTGGCAGCCAACACTTGTGCTTGACTTCAAGTCACTCACACCCTCATTTCCATCATCTCCTTTAAGGCAGGACCTGAAATATTCCTCTACCTTCTAAATGCTGAGTCAGCACAAGAATCCAGGCAGGACCCCAGGTCCTAACCTTTCCCTGGGTTCGGTTCCCATAAATGGACTTTCCAGGAGCACACACGCTGCAGGGAGGGCCCGGGCTGACTCAGTGGAGTCCCCTCTTGAGGCTGTTCTCTGGGCTGTTCATCCCACACATTTCTCCACCCTCCCAACCCAGCCTTTTCTTCTTTTCTTTCCTGTTAAACCAGCCTAACCCTGACGGCATTCCATAGTCTTTTTTGAGGAGTGTTTGTCAGGACAACTGTGACTACAAAGAGCAAAAATACTGGGCTTCAATCTAGCCTAAGCAAAGAAAACAACTTGCTAGCTTGTGGTGCTCACACAGCCAGACCTGGCTTTGAGCTCAGAGAGGTGTAGGGGCCCCAACAGTGGCAGCAGACTGTCTCTGTCTGCCTGTCAGCTCTGCTCCTTGTCTCTGGGGTGGCATAAGTCCTTGGCCACCCTAGAGACAAGGGGCACATCGTCCCAGCAACTCCAGAGAAAAGAGACACCTTTTACACTTGGCTTCCAGCAGCTCCTCAGCCCTGAGCCTCTGTTTCCTGGTTCAGGTCACCTGCCTGTCGTTGAAGCAATCCCTGCAGCCAAAGGGATGGAAAGATTGCAAAGGTCTGGGCTCAGTTCTACCCGGTTCCACAGGGACTGAGGGTGAGGCAGGGGTGGTTGCCCACTGTGGAGCAGGCCAGATGCTGGGAGGGCAGAACAGCCACCACCCACAATGGGTCATCATTCCAGAAACACTGGGCCTGATGCAGGGGCAGTTGGGCTCAAGGAAAATGGACAACTAATGGGCTGGTCACATACCAGTGGCTTTGAGATGGTCTGTCCTGCTCTAATGCCCTAGTGGAAGGCTCTGGAGGGGTCAGAGGGGGAATATGGGTGCAGATACCAGTGTACCTCAACTTCTTCACTTGGGATCTCTGCTCCTTCACTCTTGACCTTTGACCATGGGTCATGGCCATAAACAAGCTCTGCCCTTCTCTTCCTTCTTCTTCTGACCATGACCAAGAGATGAGGCCATACCACCCATTTCCAGAGCCCCAGAGACCTAAATGAGGCCTAAATGGCTTGAGACTTCCCTACTTGGTCCCCTTGGAGCAGAACCCCAGAGCAGAGGAGTTCCTGGGGGGTTGGCCCCAGCTCACCTCCCCTTGCTGAGATCATATCTAGGGTTCCCCCCTGTCTGAAGCCTGTCTAACAAAGCCAGGTTTGAGCATTCCAGGGATGGGGGGTTCAGACCATTTGGGACAAAAGGATCACACGATGTGAAATGGAAGAAAGCACACCTTTATTTCAGTCCCCACCCCACCACCCAGGGCCAACACCATGGCCCTTGGCCTGGTGCCCACAATGCACAGTCCAGAAGATCCCAGGGAACAAAGCCCCACAATGCAGCCTCAGGATCCCCCAAAGTGGGGTGCCTGGAGTCCCCTGCAGGTGGGGATGGGGAACAGGGCCCAGCCCCCAAGGAGCAGCACAGAGAAAAGGTGCCAGGTGAGCCCCAGGACAGGTTGTGGAGTCCTAGCTATGGGATTGAAGCAGCAGCTGTGGGAGGTCCCTGCTTTGACCATCACTGGTCCTGGTTACAGAGACATCACAAAGGCGAGGGCAGTCCCAAGTGTGGGCTCCTGGCACAGGCCAACTGGCAGAGGTAGTGTAAACACATCCGAAGGTGAGGTACCTAATGCCCTAGCCAGGTGTTCTCTGGGTGGAGAGTTGCCCAGGCTCCAGGAGTAACAGGAGGGGGAAGGTGGAGAGGTCTGGAATCAGAGGGCAGCAGAGCTCTAGGATATTGACTGAGCCCAGGAGAAATGGTTCCACAGAAATGGGGTAACTGCAGAGAAAGGGAGGGAGAAGCTGCCAGGCAGAGAGAGGACACTGGGGACAGAGGAAGGAGACTAGAGGCAGATGGACATGGAGACAGAGAGGGAGAGACAGGGACAGAGAAAAGGGGAACTTGAGGGGTAGAGAGGAGACTGAAGCTTAATTCTCCCCCTTTCTTGTTCCATTAGCTCTGTGAGCTCTGGGGTGGGTGGTCCCCAAGTTGTCCTATCTGGGGGGGAGGACAGGACTCTCCTCTACCAGGCTCCTCCCCAGTCACATCTGCTCACTGGAGACGGGAGGCCTGGTAACCAGGCTGAGTTGAGGGTGGGAAGGGACTGGCTCAGCCCTCATGCCCCATTTCTACACCAAACTAAGTTTGGACCCCAGCTCACCCCCCTCCTCCTCTTCTGGGGGATGTCCTGCCTCAGCCAATCCACACAAATACCCCTGTGCCCAATCCCAAGTCAACTCTTCCCTGAGGCTCCCCTGAATCACAGGTCATTGACTAGCCCAGTCCCCTCACAGGCAGGAGGGAGGGAAGGAGAGGGATGAGGAGGGTTGGGGAGGGAAGAGGCAGGGGAGTGAGAGCTATATTCACACCAACCGGTCCAGCACCAGCAAGGTAGAGTCTGCCCTCAATCCCAGACCTAAGTGCAGAGAAAATCTGAAGAGAGATGTTTGAAAATATACATAATTTTAAAATGTTTTGTGTGCACTTTAGGATTTTTACAAAATCTTTAATTCATCATCTCCATATTCTGTTTAAAGTACTTTTTAAAAAAATGAACTTAGTTACTCACTATATCAGCACCACCTTAAGTAACCAGAACCTACAAGTGCTGGATATTTAGATTTTTCTACCTTTAGGAAGGAGGGGAAGACTACTAAGCTTGTAGATTTCAAGGATTTTATGAATCAGACAAAGGAACTCCCAGGAGCCTTTGCAGTCCTAACACCAGCTGCTCCGGGAGTCCTGAGCTTGAATGCCTGCAGGCACCGCCCAGGCACCTGGGGATGTTCAAACAATCTTGGTGTCCTGGAGTCCACAGGGAGTGCTGGGGACCATGAGAACTGGAGAGTGAAGCCCTGGGGAGAGGAACAGTTGCTCTTTAGCTCCAGCCGAAAGTCAGTAGTTGCCCCTGTGCAGAGCTTTTATTTTCAGAGAAGAGGGAAATTTGGTATATATATTTTAAAAGTGGTATCTCTTGATTTTAAAATGTTAACTCAACCAAAATCAAAATCACACCATAGGCCACACAGAACAAGTCTCAGGGCTAGTTTCTAGCTTAGTTTTTATGAAATCTTAGAGATTCTGAAACATAGGGTTCCTAGGATGAGTTAACGCCATGATTCAAAAACTTTAATGTGCATATAAATACTCCAGGAACTTGTTGAAATGCAGATTCTGTCACTAGGTCTGGCCTGAGATTCTGCATTTCTAACAAGCTCCAAGGTGATATTGCTGCTGCTGGTCCACCAACCACGCTTATTGTATAGTGAGGATTTAGTCCATCCGCCCACCTAGGAATTCCCCTTGACTGTTGTATCTTTGGTCAATGATGTCTCCAGTTCTACTTGCACACCTCCAGGGACTGGAGGCTCACTACTTATAGTGGCAATCTGGGTGCCTGTGGCTGCTGTTAACTTCTGTCATGGTCTGCAGCAATGGGGAAAAACACCCAGTCAAACATGCCAAGGCTCTGGAACATCAGAACTGCAGAAAAGAAACCTCACCTAGAGACTTACCAGGACGGGGTCGACACTTGTTGCATGGACCGAAGCAGAGAGGATTTCCTGTTCCAACTGCTTGCTCAGCACCACCCAGTTAAACAGAGAAGATTACTGGGTGATAATCCCTCAGGTGTTCTGGTTAGTAAAGGTTTGGTGCAGTTTGTTTCCTTTCCTCAAAGCCTTGAAGCAAGCTTTTCTCTGCACTTGGGCAAGTTACATGATTATGCCCATGGGTGAAGAAGCCACTTTCTGACTGGTGGGGGATGGAGAAGGGACTGATGCTTGAGGCTAAGCAGAAGCCCTCACACTCTCGGGCCATGTGACACCCCTACCCTGGTGCAACAGGAGGTCTCCACCTTCTCTAGTGTTGGGGCATCCAATCCCAAATCCTCCTTCCTGGTGCCTTAAAAAGCCCCGGAAAGTGAAGAAACCCCACCCCAACACCCTCGGGGTCTCAGGGTCACATTCCCAGTGACCTATATCCCAAGACAACCCTTGTGAAACTCAGTTGCCATGGGGTGTGGAAACCACCTAGGCCACTCCTCATTTCACCACGGAGGGGAACCCAAGCCCAGAGGTTGCATGAGTCTTTCCCAAGGTCACACGACTGGTTTGCAACCAGCTCTTCTGAAGGCCCAGAATCCTTTGATGAAGAGCTGCACAGAAGCCATGGGTAGCAGCCAAATTTTGGTCACCTATAGCAGCAACTTGCAGGAAGAGGACCTTCTGGAATAATCCTGAGGGGAAGAGGAGTGTCTCAGAGAAAATCGAGGAAAGGATCCATGAGGATTTACCTAGGAAGGGGAGCATCATGAACCATGGTTCCTTGAAGGAGGGTGGAGGTCAGAAGGGCTTCTGCTCCAACAGACCTCCAGGGGTGGCAGTCATCTTATCCTATGTTGCCCTCTAGAGTTCTGTCTCTAGTGCAGTGCACAGCCTGTGGGGATGGGGGTGCGGGGGCTGGTTAATGTAGTGGAGGATCAGAGGAGAGGTCACAGGAGGTCATGGTTAAAGGAGTTCCCAAGTCTGAATTCCTGGACCACTCCAGACCTACCCAACTAGAATCTGTGTTGACTGGTGTTTCCCTTCCGGGGGAAATCTCTGGGTTTAGGAACCAGCCTGGGCTCCCCAAGTCAGAGAGAAACCAGACAACTGGCCCGGGTGGGAAGTCGTGCAGGCAGGGCTAGTCCTTAGGTTGGGAAAAAGCGCCTGTCCCCCAGGAAGTGTCTCCCGGAGATGCAGCCCCTGGAGTCTGGGGAAGCTTGGCAGCTGGGTGTGGGAGCCAAGAGGCAGCACCTGTCCCAGCCGGGCCTCACTTTCCCAGAAACTGGCCCGGCCTCGCCTTCTCCAGCTTCCTGCGCCGCTCGGGAGGTATCTCCTGCAGGTTGATACCGTGGTTGCTGGCCCTGCGGGGAGAGTGCGGCGGCCTCAGGGATCGGGAATAGGGGTTTGGGAAGGCATGGCCCAGGTCATGCTGCTTGAGGAGAGGCGGAGTCAAGCACAGGGCCACAGGCCGAGAGAGCCTTTCTCCCGGCCTGTGCCCATCCCTTGAATCTCCCGGCCTGTGGATGCCCGCTCCTCACCCCGGTTGCAGGTCCGGCGGTTTGGGGATGGGCTTGGTGAAGCCGCGTCTGCCCACCAGCCAATACGTGTCCTCGGCGCCCTTGCCCTGGGGAGACACGGGGTAGGGGAGGACTTAGGCGGGCTGGGGTGCGAGTGGGTGGATCGGGAGGTCTAAGTGGAACGGGAAGACCCGGGATCTGGCCGGGCGTAGAGAGTTGTGTCTCCCAGCCCCGGCGCGGGAAGGGGCGGCCCGGCCTCACCTTCAGCTCCGTGCGGCCTCGCATCTCAATCTGGAAGCCCTCGTCCAGAGCGCGGAGGATCCGCACGGTGCTCACGTTGACGTGGATACGGTAAGCTGGGGCAACAGGGGACCGGGTGACCTCTGAACTCACCTCTCGCCTCCCCCTCCTGCTCCGTCCTCCCTGGGTCCCGCGACCTCCGCCTGGCTCCCCGAGCCCCTGCCAACTCCGTCACACTCACGCAGCCCGGTGGACTCCATGCGCGAGGCGGTATTGACGGTGTCCCCAAACAGGCAGTACCGCGGCATGGTGAGGCCCACCACGCCGGCCACGCACGGGCCTGCGGAGACGCGGGGTTGGTGGCAAGGGAGTGCTTGGGCCGAAGCTGGCGGCTGGGTGGCACCTAGGGCCTAAGGGGACTTTAGCACCCCATAATCTCCACCGGCTCCTCCAAAGAAAACACTCTCAACTAATTGCAACTACCCTCATTACAACGGAGTGCCTGGTATGCAAAGGTGGCTTCAAGACCAGCCTCTCCCCCGCTCCCGCATTTCTCCACCCCCGGAGTGTTCCTCCTTTCTGGGAAATTTGGAGTAGGGCTCGAGAGAGGGAGCCGGCTCCAGAGCCTGGGAGGGTGGAGAATTACCCGAGTGCAGGCCGATGCGGATGCGCAAGGACACCTCGGGCATGTGGCGCATGCGGAAGGAGCCCACAGCGCTGAGAATATCCAGTGCCATGTTGCCGATCTCCGCTGCGTGCCGCTGCCCATTCCGCTGGGGCAGCCCAGAGGCCACCATATAGGCGTCCCCAATTGTCTCCACCTGAGGGAAGGTGCACGAATTCAGTACCGAGCACCCCACTCCCCCAAAGTGATTATCCCTTGTCAGGAGGCTTAAACTGGGTTTAGTGCAGAGATCCTGGGGAGCCTTCAAGCTGGCGGACTGAGCCGGGAACTAGCAGAAGATATAAGGGCCGGGAGGGCTGGGAAAGAGGACTGGGCTAGTGGCCTGGGGGCTGGGCTGGAAGCTGGGGAACCTTGGGGAGGGCTTGTCCCCTGTACACTCCACCTTGTAGACATCGTGGGAGCCGATGATGGCATCAAAGAGTGTGTATAAATCATTGAGCAGGTCCACTACTTCGATGGGTTCACTCATGGCAGAGATGGTGGTGAAGCCCACAATGTCGCTAAAGTACAGTGTCACCTCTTCAAAATACTCAGGCTCCACAGGGGTCCCCATCTTCAAAGCTTCAGCCACAGACCTAGGGAAGGCAGGTGGTGAGGTTACCTGGAGGCCACCCCAGTCTGGCTTGGTTCTGGCTGCCCTCCCCACCCACTTTCCCTTTCCCCACTGGCACCCACGGAGGCAGCATCTGTGTGAGTAGCCGGTCTGTCTTCTGCTTTTCCAGCTCCAGCTCCTCGGTGCGCTCCCGTATCAGGTCCTCCAAGTTACTGGAGTATTGCTCCAGCATCCGCAGCATGGAGTCGATGATGTTGGTCTTCCGGCCCTTGTTGATGCTCTTGAACTAGGAGGAGGAGGAAGCTGCTGAGGTTGCTGAGAACCTCGGCTGCCAAGGCCCTCTCCTGGGGCTGTATTGTGCCTGATTCTACCCCCCCCCCCATTCATTCATCTTCAACTCATTAAGCCCCTTCCAACACACCCCAGGGTGCTAAGCACTGTGTTTTTACACATCACAGGTAGGCATACAGGTAATGGGGTCCCATGAGGTCAGCTGCTCTCAGCTGGTAATTGACAGAGCACTGCAACCAATCCAGCCTTTGTATTCCCAGGCCAAGGGTCTTTCTGCCGCACTAGGTCAAGCACATACTTGGTTCTCAATAAATGTTGAGTTGAATTAAATATTTCTCCCATCCACAGCTCCACCTCTGGCTCTAAAGGAATATACAGCCCTGTTGTAACTCTGCCCCTATCAAAACCGCAGTCCTCAGGCTGCCCCTTAAGAAAAAGCCTTCCGGGTCAGAAATCTTGCCAGTCTGCCTTCCTGCAGCCTCTCCAGGTTGCTGAGAAGTGGCCAGCCCAACCCTCGCCCAATCCCAGGCCCTAACCAGTTCGAAGGTGCGGTCCATGGAGGGCCGAAGTTCCGGCTGCTCTGCCCAGCACTGTTTCATCAGCTGGATGCACTCCATGGGTGCCTGGTCCACGGAAACCAAGGGCCGACACAGGGGAGGGGGGTTCTGCACCCTCTGCACCACTTCTGGAGGTATGAAGGGACCATGAAAGGGGATGTGCCAGAACAGACGCTACCTCTGACTCTGGCCTCAGTGTTGAAGCTCAAGATGAGGGGGACTGGAAGGGGATCCCCTAAATCAGAGCTTTGGTAAGTGGGGAAGTGTAGTGGAGAAGGGGGTTGCTGGGAGAAACAAGGGGACCCTGAACCCTGAGAGGCAAGGGGCAGGTGGAGGTAACAGGCAAAGACTACTATTTATTACACATAAGTGAGGGTTAGCATGAATGATCAAGTAGTTTGCTGAGTCCTATAGGTGATAGGGAATATGATTTGAACCATGTCCAACTGCTCTCTTCCCATCCCCCCCCCCACTCTGCCTCCATGGGCACCCTAAGAACCAGAGAGGAGCCTGTTCCATCCTCTGGGGAAGAAGTTTGGAACCCAGGATCAGGACAGAGGAAACCACTGAGGTCTGGGCACCTAAGAACTGCCCCCTCCTGTCTTGCTGCTTGACTCTCCACTGCCCTGATCCTTCGGACCCCAGCTTGAAGGAAGGCGCACATAATTAAGTCTCCGCCTTGGGCTTTCCAGAAAAGAGCGACGCTGGTCTGGCCAGGCTTGCCTAACAGCAGGATGCCTAACAGCCCAAACGCCACGCGAGGGGCGGCGGTACCCTCAGGCGTCAGCTCCAGCATGGCGTAGGGGGAGCTGCGGCACACGACCTCCTGCATGATGATGCCCAGGCTGAAGACATCGCCGGCCAAGGTTCCCCGGCGCTCCAGAGCTGGGTCGCGAAGCAGCTCCGGGGCGGTCCACAGCTGGTCTAAGGTCGGGGAAGAGAGGGCGTGAGCACGCGGAGGGCCTCGGGGGCATTGGGGACAGACATCCCAACACCACCGGCAGAAAGCCCAGGTTCACACACACTCGCCAACCCCCCAGCCGGAGTCTGCCCCGAGGCGCGCAACTGTCACCAGCGGAGACTGCGGAAAGCCGGCCTCAGAAAAAGCCCCGCCCTCACAAACAGGTCCCGCGCGTTAGACCACGCCCCTAGGGCACAAGCCCCGCCCCTGGCAGAGGCCCTCTGAGAACAGACCCTGCAGCAAGGACAGAAGCTCCGCTTCTCGAAGACAAGTGCCCCCCTTTACAATGCCCCCGCCTCCCGGGTTTCACCGTCCGCCCTCCTCATTTCAGAGGTCAAAAGACCTTTTCCGTAGCAGGAATCACTTCCAGTGGACGTGGGATGGAGGGGATGAGGAAGGGAAGGAAGGGACCTTGAAATAATAGGAATCCGAGTGATGCTCCTCCGCGCCGGAAGCACCGGGGAATCCTACCCTCCGCGCTGGGAGGCTCTAGTAACACCCTCTGGGCTTCCAGGAGTCTCCCGTGGCCGTGGTCGGCGACTTTAAGCACGAATCTCCCATCCACCACACAGTTCCGGGACTTCAGTCTCCCGTGGGCCACGCCTCGGTGGTGCAGATACCTCATTCCCTGGACGGGGTGGGGTAAGTGGCAGCTTCAGCGTGCGGCTTCCCCCACCCCGCCCTCTCCCCCCTGCACCCCTCCTTCTCCACCCCCAGACCTTGATGAGGTCCAGTAGGAGGGAGGACTTGAACATCCAGTCCAGCTTTATGTCTCTCTGGGCGAGAAGGTCGTGGAGGGAGCCCCGGGCACAGTGCTCTGAGACCACAGCCAGCGTGCCTTCCCCGGGGCCCGCGGTGCTGTCCGCTCCTTCCGCCAGGAAGAGCCCCAGGTAGAGGGCCACGTTCTCGTGCCGGAGCTCCCGGAGCTGAGAGGGAGAAAGTTTACACGCATTTTCTGCCCTGGGCGCAAGGTAGGGGACGGGGGAGGCTGTTATTCAGATCTGTTTTGAGTATCTAAACGTGGAGGATGGGCTAAAAATGGTGAATGGAAGGTCTGTAGGGCATATCGTAGGGCCTTTGTTATACAGATAACTTCTCTCTCTGGAAAAGACAACATCTTCAAAGGCTACTTTTCAGATACCAAGTATGGTTTAGTTTAATGTTACAGATGAAAAGACACCCTTGCCCAGGTCATCGGGATCTAGGTAGGTTCTGATTTAACCACCATGGGACTTTGAACTGTCCATGTCTTAAGTAAAACACCTCATGAAGGAGAAGCCCCTGGCACCATCACCCTCCCCTTCTGATGTGACTGCCTTTGCAGGGAGAAGCTGCACTGCTTTAAAAACAAAACAAAACACTGGAAATTGCTTGAGCTGGGGAGCGGGCCCAAGGCTGCTTTGCTTGGCCACATCATTATGTCGGCTATGTCAGAGACTCCCGCACTCTCCAAGTAAGTAGGGACTGAGCAGGCAAGCTGTGGTCCGGGGGAAGCCGTCAACAAGGCCACACCCACTCCACAGGACAGAGGCCCTCCACGACTGGGCTGGCAGTTGACTGGTGCTTTTTCTAGCTTCCCTCTGGTCTAATAAGGGCTTCTTTTCATCTTAAATGTGTGCTATTAAATGGTGATTTAGTCCGCTGACCATGAAGTCGTCCACTTGAGTCATTCTGCAGCTATAACCAAGAGCTTCTGGGGAGGCAATAGGGAAGGAAGCCAGGCCAAGCCTGCATGGTGTTAGGGGTAAGAGGGGAATTAAAGTTTAAAGGGCCAGCCCTGACCAGTGTGGCTCAGTTGGTTGGGCTTCATACAAGGTAACTGGTTTGATTTCTGGTCACTGCACAGGCTTGGGTTGTAGGTTTTGACCCCCAGCCTCCCAGCTGGTGCACGTATGAGAGGCAACTGACCCTTCTCCCTTGCTTCCCTTCTCTCTAAAAATAAATAAATGCAATCTTTAAAAAAATAGAGTTGAAAAGATCAGAATAAGCCAGTTTACAGCCTCCTTGCCAACTTTCTACTTCACTCAGTATGCATCAACTAGGCCATTCTGCATGACCTGACAACTGAAAACCCATTTTAAAATTTTCTATTATTCACTCAACAAACATGCATTGCTTCTCTCAGATGTTCCAGACACTGTGTTGGGTGCTGAAAACACAATGAAAGGGGCAAGAGGAAGCCCTCACTCAGCTTACAGTCTAGTGAGGGTGGCAGATGAGAACTAATCAAGCACACAGGTGAACATACAACTATAAATGATGACAAGCACATCAAAAGAAAGAACAAGTGTTATGAGAGAGCATAATGGGAAACCTGCTTTGGAGAGGAGGGGACACTTCACTGAGTCCTCCCGATCTCTCCCACATTGGGGCTACCCCTGTACCCAGCAGCAAAGAGAAGGCAGAAGAAAGAAATGACGGCCTCCCCACACCCTATCCTGGGCCTAACTCTCACCTTGGAGAAGGCTGTCTTAGTTGCTGGGCGGATGGTTATATGCTGATCCCCTGGGAATTTCTTCAGCCAAACCCAATCTCCCTGGAGCAGAAATGGAGGTAGTGAAGTCAATTTCTTAAAACCCCATGATGCAAAGAGCCCTAGACCCCCCACCCCATTTCTACTGGCCCACTGCCCCAGAACATCTTCTGTGTGACAAAGAGTGTCAGGAGCCAGGGGGTTGATGTCTACCAGTCCTCTTCACAGCTAGCTGCTGGGTGAGAACCCTCCCCCACATACCACCCCTGCCGGGTAACAGGGGCAGAAGGCCTGAATGTCTGTGCTTACCAACAGCCCTATTAAATGAGACATGGCCAACACAAATGTCGTTGAAGTCATAGCCCTCATCACCATTTGTTGCCATGAGCAAGCACTGTGGTGGGAGTCAGGAGTCTGGGTAGGTCAAGCTTTATTATAGACTAACTGTGAAATATAGGCAGCTCCCCTCCAGGCCCTGGGCCTCATTGACCTCAGCTAATGGTGGGGCTGGTCCATGAGCATGTGACAGGTGCAGTCACATGGGGGCCCAGGCTCACAAGGGCCTGAGCTTCTTGGTTCAATGATCTGCTGTTGTCATCTTGAATAAACAAGGAGCCCTGTTTTATTTTTTCCTAGACATTGTAGCTGCCCTTGCCTGCTGATAAGGGATTTGGAAGAGAAGAGAATTTGGGGGATTTGACAGTGACCCCCAAATCATTTGGAAATAAATACGGAGACATTTTTAATTGTCACAGAAATTGAGGGCTATGTTTAGTAAACAGGGCCAGAGACAGGAGGCACTGAACATTCTTCAAGGCAGAGGGTAATCCCATACAGTGAAGAATAATCTGCCCAAAATAACAATAGTGCTCTCCTGAGAAATGGCTGTGATGGCCTCTACGTGACACACTAGGAGTCTCTGTACCCTCTCTGCGATGTGACACTGAGGAGCTCTAAGTCTCCTGACTAGCTGCGCTCTCTCTCAGCCCTGCCTCAATTTGTTCTCATTGTCCTCTGGTCATTCCACCCCATCAAATCTGCTGACCCCATAGTTAATGTCCTCACACCCTTTTGTAACTTTCTCTTTGCCCCTAAAGCTTGCAATTCCTGAGTCTGGTCGGAATTGGGTGGAAATGCTGGGTAGGGCCAAAATGTGGGTCTGGCTTGAATCAGGGGTAGCCTTGTCTGGAAAAGCCCCATCCTGAACCACCCATCTCCTGGAAATGTCCTTTCTGTGACTGAGAAGTCACATCCCAGATGCAAGGTGCGGGGGTGGGGGGGTGGTCTCAGTGGCCACATGAGGCTGCATGCTGGTCCCAGCATGCTCCCCACCAGTCAGGTCACCTGCCCCTGGGTCCCTGTGACTAGTCTTTGAGGAGCCCTCACCTGAATAAGAGATATGGAAAAATCCTGGGGCAGGAAGGATTACCAGATGGTTCCCCTTGAGGAATTTATGACTTCTCTGTAGATCTTCTTCTGGGGTCCTACCCCCATTTCCTAGACACAACTCTGAGAATAGAGCTCAGCCTAGTTGGGGGCCAGGCTCACCTCATAGAGGCCAATGCTGGAGTTGTCTGGGGGCTGGCTGGGGACGCTGCAGATGTCTGACATGCTGTGGGCAACCAGGCTTGACCGACTGCTGCCCTGGGCCACCTGGAGGGGAGGGGTCAATGCGAGGGGTCAAAACATACTCAGAGTTCCGGATATAATGAGTTCTTAGACAGAGTTCTGGGGATTGAAGAGGGGAGAGGAAGAAATCTTAATGAGGGGAGGTGATAAAGACATTACTTCCTAGGCACACAGAACTTTACAGTTTACAAAACAAACATTCATTTTCTTATCGGAGAGTCACACTGCCCCAGGAGAGCAGTCAGCAAAGGGATGTCACCCTCAAAGCACACATAAGGGCACTATCTTCAGAGCTCAGGCCTTGGACTCTGCTAGAGCAGAAATAAGACCTCCTTTCCAGGTAGGGGCTAGGGTGAGGGCTAACCCTGGCAGGGGACCAGATATACAGGGGAGGATAGCAGGTTCCTGGTTCCCAGCTTCTCCCACCTTTTGAGTACTGCCTCCTTGTGGGTGGAGGAAGGTGATGTCATCCAGAGTCAAGATGATCTTGTTGGGGCCTGAGATCATCTGAATGTGCAGTAGCTGGTGCCTGGTAGGAAAAGGAGGTCATTTCCCCAACAGGGACCAAGGTGCACGAGAGGAGGCCAGCAAGGGGTAATGTTGGCTCAGGGGAGGACAGCCATCCCCAAACCAGCCATCGCCTTGGGGCTCTGCTAGTCTTCTAGGGCCCCTTTTCCTCCCTCCTTCCAAAAAAAATCCTCCCTTCTATCTTGAGGGAACCCAGCCTGCTGTCTTTGCTGTACAGTTGCATTTCTGGCATGTGGAGAGCCAAGCTCTTCTACTTACCTCCCTTCTCTGCTCACCTCACATAATGGGCCAGGAAGACCCCCGTCAGCCCCATTCCAACCACCAGGAGGAAGCCGATAAAGACAAGACCAGGATCCACTCCTGCAGGTGCAGTGAGAGGAGGGGCACTGAGGATCATGGCGAAGAGGAGGCGCCCTTTTTAGGGAAGTGTGCAGTCATGTCACATTCTGGAGGCTCCAGGAAAGGGGGTTGGGAGCCAAGAAGGGGAACTAGAGAAAGGTCATGAGTGCTACTAAGGAAGAGCATCTGGGAATTCTAGAAAGTTTTCAAGAGGGCTTTAGGGGCTCAGCAAGGGAGGGGTCCTACACAAGTCTGGGGTATGAGGAGGACCTGGAAGGGACTCAAGGAGGAGTTACAGGAAGAGTTCACTCTCTTTCACCACTTTGTGGAAGGTGCCTGGTGCCTACCCTAGTGGAGGCTGGGTGTCTGCCCTCACCTCCATTGCAGATGACGTCTGGGTCGAACCAGCAAGAGGGGTCGGGCCCAGGCCCTTGGCCCCCTCTAGGGAAATGCACTGGGGTCCCAGCAGAGTGGAAGGAGCCCCGGGTGGGGTCCAGCACGTATGTGGTGAACAGCCGATCCCCGGCCTCATCTGTGTCCAGCAGCACAAACGGGGAATCCTCGGCTTTTCCCAGGGTTCCACAGAATCCTGGGACCTGGGCATCCTGGACGTGGTGGGCCACAGCTGCTCCGGACACCCATCTGCCACCTACTGCTGCCCAAGCTCGCACCACACCCCCCGCCAACAAGAAGATTGCATCATAGATGGTGCCGAAGAGTGGAGATACCTGGGGAAGGTGAGGTCAGCGTCATGGCCCATAAACAAACAGGGACTTACTGCCCTCCCTCCATCTTTTCACTGGGCCCTTCAAACCCTTCAAGCCCTTGACTGTTCTCACCTTCTACTTAGTGGTTCCTCATGTCCCTCATTGTCTCTCTCGCATTGGCTATCCCACCTCTTCTCCCCACTGGCCATCCTTCTTTCCAGGATTCTTAGACTCTTCTCACCATTGGTTAATTCTACCTCCATTACCTACAGATCCTCTCTTCCTTTTCATCTTGGTTGTCCTGAATATATTTTTTAACGCCATTTCCTTCCATTCACATAAAAGCCTTCTTTCCCATATTTTGGTTGCTTCTCTTTTCTATTTTCCCTTCTTTTCATTTCCCAAGGCCTCACCGAGCCTCTCTATTGTTCCCAGTCCCCGTCTCTCTCACTGCCAGGAAGTGTGTAAAGCACTAGGGATATGTTGGTATACGAGACAGAGTCCCTGTCTCAGGGACTCTTTCATCTACTGGGAGAGACAGAAAGGGATGTTAAGGCAATGCCATGAGTGAGGGCACAGGTAACTGGGAACTGTGAAGACTGGGAGGAGGGCCCCCACCCGGGCTGGGGGAAGAGGAGGAGGCTTCCAGAAGAAGTGACCATTTTCCAGGATGTGAGTCAGAATTATCTGGGGGACAGTTGAGGCAGAGAGCAGGAACAGTGTACACAGCAACACAGAGGTAAAAGAGAAGCCCACATTTAGGGAACCCAAAGTAGCTGGTCTGCTTGAAGTTCAAGGAAGATGGAAGAGGGAGGAAGACACCACACCTGGTAAGCTATGGGAAGAGACCTGCATTTATCCTGCAAAATAAGGCACTTGGCGGCTTTGAACAGAGGCATGACACAGTCACATTTCTGAAGTTCAGTTTGTTTGTTGGGTGGAGAAAAACCTGGGGCAGGTGAATGTTGAAACAGACCATTTGAGAGATTTTGTTTTGAGATTTGGACCAGAGACTTTGTGGCCTGGATCAGGGCAGTGACAGTGAGAGTGGGGAAAGTGGATGGATTGAAATGACCTTTAAGAAGTAGGAAGTGACAGGACTTGATGTCTGGATGTTGGGGTGAAACCATTAGAGGGATCAAGGGTGACTCGCAGGGGTCTCACTTGAGCAGCTAGGTGGAAGGCTGTGCTATTGATACTCACTGAGAGCTGAAGAGGTTTTTTCACCGCTTTCTCTACTCTCTCACTCCCCTCCCATCCCATCTCTGTTCCTAATTTTTCATCTCCTCTTCTTGACTATTCCCATCATTTCTCCCCACTGGCTACTCCAAATCTGAGTGGAGGAGGCTCAGAGTGGGGAGCAGAATTGGTGGGGGATAGTTTACCCCTCCCCATGACTTATAGCCCTCTTATGTGCAACCCTTTGTGTAGGGCCCTTTTAGTAGTTAGTTTTCTGCCCACTGACATCTAAATCCCCTTCTCTCTTGGCAGTTTCTAGCCCCCATTTTACAAATGGGGTGGGTCTAGATGGTCTGAACTGGGACTCTGGGTTCTCAGGGAAGCCTGGGTATTAGCTAGTCCCAGGGAATAAACTGTGGATCTAAATGATCATTGAAGCTCCTGGCTCCACCTAGGGACCTTTCTGCTTCTCACAAGATGTCAAGGCTTTCAGAAAGTTAAAACCATCAGATGAACCCCCAGAGGGAATACCTCTGAAATGGACATGGAGGTCGGATCTGCATCCTCCTTCCTTCTTGCTCTCTTAAGAACACTACATGTTTACTATAGACCGTGTGTTGTGGTGGTGCTGGAAGTGGGTTTACTTTGGAGTAGACTGCCAAAGACATTGTAGTGTAGGGTTTAGGGTTTACTCCTTGGAGCTGGTCTTGAGACGTCTCATTGCAGTCTCTCTGAACCAATCTCAGTGCACTAAGATGCCCAGAGCAAGCAAGACCAGAGCTGCTTGCTAGTTATTCTCTCCCTATGCCCTACTCCTCCCTCCCGTGGCCTCCAGCCTCTTTTCATTTCATGACTCTATCCACTTCTCTCCGCATTGCCTCCAGCCTCTTTCCCTTCTTTGGCTATTTTCTGCTTTCTTCCCCACTCTCCTTCCTTCTTCTGTCTTCCCCGGTCCCTCTACCTGCTGCAGATTAAGGTCAGGGGGCAGCTCCTGGTGCTCTTGGGCCTTGCGCAGGCTGTCCAGCACGCTGCCTCCAGGGGGACAGTGGCGTGTGAGAGTGAGAACTGCATCGTGGGCTCTGCGAAGCTGTGAGTTGTTGGCCAGCACGGTCAAGGCCTCTGGGCCTGGAGACAAGGCGTAGTGGAGTGTGTCGAAGGGCAGAAAGACCAGGGAGCCATCGGCCAGGCCCAGCTCCTCAGCAGCCTCCAACAGGCAGCGTTGTTCCTCGCCGCCCAACAGCACAGAGTGCATTACCATGATCACTGCTGTGGACACAGAGACTCCGCTCACTGATTCGCCCGGGGCCAGCGGGACTACCAACCTCCCCGCCGCTGTGGGAAGCCTACCTCTGACTCTGGGCCCGTGCTGGACCCTCCTCAGGGCTTCCCGGGCTCCAGATCGGTCGGCAGGCTCCATGGCAGTTACCAGGGCAACCGGCAGACCCCGGGTCCTGAGTGCAGTGGCTAGTGAGCGTCCCGCCTCCACCCACAGATCCTGGGGGGCGGTCACCAGGGCCACGCGTGCCCAGCGGAACTCGCGAAGGAGGGCATAGAGGGCGTCCGCGGCTGGCGTCACTGCGGGGGCCGTCGTGCCCGCAGCCCGTGTCCCGGGGCAGCCCCAGGGCACCAGCGCGACCCCCGCCTCTTGGGCCAGGAGTTCCGCGGGCCGGCAGGCTGCAGGGTTCACGGGACCCACGAGACCAGAGACGCGGGACAGCGCGGAGGACACAGCCCCCAGCGAGCCTGGCGTCCGGCAGGGCTCCGGCAGCAGCAAGACCTCGAAGCGGGGACCGCGTTCCAGGGCTGGGTCATGCCTCAGGCGGTTGGCGGCCAGGTGGACAGCCAGGTCCGGACGGGCACGGGCGAAGATGGGGTCGCAGGCCCAGGGGCCTAAAACCCCCACTCTGAATACCTCGGGGAGGGCAGAAGGCAGCAGGAGGAGGAGCAGCAGCAGCAGCCGGAGCCGAGGCTGGGGCCAGGGTAGCACCCGGGGCAGCCTGGGAGTGGATGGAGCCCACCGTGCAGGGGCGCAGAGCCGGGGATCCCCAAGGCCGCTCGCGAGGACCGTGCAAGTGGTCATTGCCGGCTTCTGTGAGCATAAACAGAGCTGGAAGAACGTTGAGATTCCCTCCCCCTCAAGTCTCTCGGGACTTTCTCCGCAGCCCCCAGTTTCTTAAAACCCAATTAACCTGTGGTGTATCTCCACTTTCTCTCCTCAGGCTTGAAAACCATGATGGGGGCCTAGGGCATGGTTTAGAAACCCACCACATCCCCCTCCCCTTTGGCTTCCTGTTCTCCCCTTGTCTATCCCTCTCTAGTCAGAGCCTCAGAGCCCTTGAAGGGCCAGAGGGGACAGGTCCACCCCCTGCTTAGAGGAGCTGGGTGAGGAAAGGAACTCGAGTCCATGTGGAGGGGCCTTTGCCACTCACCTGAGAGTATCTCACCTGAGAGTATGGGGCTTGGGCTCCGACCCAGGGCCGAGGTGAGGGGGTCACACGCCCTCCCACAAGTCTCCTTTGCTGGCCCAGGGCCGGGATGTGGGAACAGCTGGTGGGAGCCCTTAATCTATCTAAGCTGATTAAGGCCCCTAAATCAGGCAGGGAGGAGCTGGTGGAGGATGGAGCTCTGAGGTAGTATCTGTCCTGGCTTCCAGGCAGCCAGTCAGATTCTCTCCCCACTCCCACCTCTCCTAACACCTCCAGCATGGAAGGCGCTGCAGGTCCTCCTTTCAGGCTGCTGCTGTCCCACTACCCTGCTCAGCCTGAAAAGTGACAGCACTGTGCCCACAGACACCTGTGGGTGCTCAGTCCTGGGGTGGGAGTTCTCTCAGTTCCGTTGACTCCAATCTTTTTTCAGTTTTGCCAGCCAAGTCCAAGCCCATCCTTTGGCTGATGAAGTCTATACCCCAGAGACTAAACCCAAACCAGTCTGCCTGCCTATCTTCTCTCGCCTGCCCACACATGGTTCTCTGACATCCACATCTCCACACCTAGAAAACCATTAGTCTGGCCTTGGGAAGGCAGAATCCCAGGAGATAATGGAAAGAGCTCTGGTCTTGGGCAGATCTAGGTACAAATTCCTCTTTTCTGACTTTGTGACCTTGGAAAAATTGCTTAATATCTTGGAGGTTTGTGTGACAATGAATATAATTGCCTAGATGACAAAAATAATCAAGACAATTTTAAAGAAGAATGATGGACTACTTGCCCTACTGTATATCAAAATTTATTACAAAGCTATAATAAAGACACTACAGTATTGGTTCAGAGATAAACAAATAGACCAATGAGACAGAATAGAGAGCACTGATAAAAAAAACAGGAAAAAGAAAAAAGGAGAGATTATGTATGAAGGAATGGACATTTCTTACTAGTGGGAAAAGAATAGGTTATTCCACAGATGGAGCTGATTAGTTAGCCATACGGGAGGGGGAGGGAGGAGGTAGGGTTAGATCTCCATCTCACACTATACAAAATCAATTTCACATTAAAAACATATATAAAAACACCCTGGCTGGTGCGAACCCGTGGACTGAGCAAAGGCCTGAGAACCAAAGTGCTGCCGGTTTGATTCCCATCAGAGAACATGCCTGGGTTGCAGGCCAGGTCCCCAGGTTGGAGAGTATGAGAGGCAATCACACATTGATGTTTCTCTCCCTCTCCTCCTCCCTTCTCCTCTCTCTAAAAATATATAACATCTTTTGAAAAAAGTAAAAAATAAAATAAAAAAATAACAAGTGGGGTAAAATGTCAACACTAAGTAAACCTGGGTAAAGTGTATGCGAATGTTCTTTGTACTATTTCCATTTTTGCAAACTTTTGTAAGTTTAAAATTATTTCCAAGTGAAAACGTTAGTTTAAAAAACTTATATAAAAAAGACTATTTGGCCCTGGTGGGGTAGCTCAGTTGGTTAGAGCATCTTCCTGATACACCAAGGTTGAGGGTTCAATCCTCAGCCAGGGCACATACAAGAATCAACAAATGAATGCATAAATAAGTGGAACAACAAATCTCTCTCTCTCTCCCTCTCTCTCCTTCTCCTTTCTTCTCTCTCTAAAATCAATACATTAAAAAAAATTTAAAGAGATTATCTATATCAGTTCAAGGTAGGAAAGGATTTCTTAAACAAAACACATAAAGTACAAACCATAATGGAAAAGATTGATAAATTTGAAGACATAAAAATTAAACTTTCTGGTCAAAAAACATATCATGAAGAAAAAGCATAAGCCGAAGACAAGAAGAATATATTTGCAAAACATTAATAAAAGGTTAGTAGCCAAAACATATATGATATGAAAAAGACAACCCTAATGGGAAAAATGGGTAAAGGATAGGAATAGGCAAATCATGAGAAAAGCCTAAGGAAATACACCCAACCTCATTAAATAATCAAGAAAGTTCAAAACAAAATGATGATCTACTATTAATATTCATCAGGTGGCAGAAATGAAGTGTGACAGTAGCAAATGTTGGGGTGGACAGGGGAAAACACAAACCCTACGTATACACTGGTGACAGTGGTGTAACTGGTGGGCTTTCTGGCAGTGTTTCGTAGAGTTGAAGCAATTCTGCTTATAGGAACTACTACAGAAAAACTAACACTTATTTGTGAACTTGAATAAGAAGTCATTCATTCACTCAGAAAACATTAATTGAATCTCTACTATTTGACAGGCACTGTTCTAGGCTCTGGTGATACACATTTAAAAGAGTGTTGAAATCTCAAGGGATTTTATGTATGCTTGAAATATTTTATAATTTTAAAAATTAACATTTCTAAATAAAAAAATTTAATTGTCAACCTGTAGTAGCATCTCAAAATCTATTAGGTATCAATGTTCATTTATATAGTCCTGGGCATACTACTTTCCATATGGTTGTTTCCCTCAAATCTGGCCTCTGCTGACATAAGTTGGAACTCTGGGTGCTCCAACCAACCCTTCCATTTCACAGATGGTGAGACCAAGGCCCTGAGACCCATTTGGCTTAGTCCATAATCTCCTGATTTTTTCTAGGGTTCGTGAAGTGACAGGTCATGTAGATACAAATGAGGAGCAGAATTTTCTCAACTTTTTTTTTGTGGTAAAACATGTATAATATCAAACTTACATTTGAGTCATTTTTAAGTGTACAATTCAATGGCATTAAATACATTGTTTTGCCACCATCACCACTACCTATTTCTAAACCTTTTTTTATCATTCCAAACTGAAACTCCATACCCAGTAAACAGTACTTCCCCATTTCTCCCTCCCCCAGCCCCTGGTATGCACCGTTCTACTTTCTGTCTCAGTGAATGTGACAGTTCTAGGGATCTCACGTAAGTGGGATCACACAATATTTGTCTTTCGTGTCTTGCTTACTTCACTTTGCCTAATGTCCTCAAGGTTCATCCATATTGCACCATGTGTCAAAATTTCCATCCTTTTTGAGGCTGAATAATGTCCCCTTGTATGTGTCTACCCCATCTTGTCAATCCACTCATTTGTCCATGGACGCATGAGTTAGTTCCACCTTTTGGCTATTGTGAATACTGCTGCTATGAACACATGTGTACAAATATCTGAGTCCCTACATTAATGTTTTTGGGGTATATACCTAAGAAGTGGAATTGCTGGATCATATAATAATTTTATTTTTAATTTTTTGAGGAACTGCCTTACTGCTTTTCCACAGTGGCCGTGCCGTTTCATATTCTAGGGCCAGAATATTTTAAATCCATCCTGGTCCTCGTACCAGGTTACACAGCTAGCCACCATGCTGCCCCTCCCTTCTAGTGACTCACACCACAGCTTGTTTGTTTCTTATTTGTTGACTGCTAAAATTGTATTCAATATTTAATGCTGTGAAGCAAAACAAACCTCTTACATAATGGGCAGGACCAGCTCTTAAAGTGGCAGTCCTGCTGGCACTACCAGAGGTCAGATTTATATTTAAATACAACCCTTGTAAATAACCTCAGCTGCAGGTAGAGCCCCTCTCTGAGAGGTCTTGGTTCCTCTGCTTTCTTAAAGGGGGAGGGAAAATGTTTTCTGAGATTTTTAGTCCCTCCTCCGTCCCCCCCATAAAGTCATAAAATTGGGAATTGACAGAAGGAATTAGAACCTTCTGTTTGTGGAATGCCTGCAGCGGTAGAAAGGGGGAAATGATTCCTGAAAGGTTAAATGAGGCAAAGGACTTTTTATCTTTTTTATCCAATCTGGCCTGAATCTGAGAGTATCAGATAAGTCCTAGAGGCATCTGAATCTTAAAAAAAAAAAAAAAGTTCAGTTGAGTTACAAAAACAACAGTGAATGCAAAAACTAAAAGGTGAAAGCCAGGGTTCCATTGACGGCAGTTTGTAATTGTTAAAGAATAGTGAGAAGGGAGCAGAAATATATCATGTCTCTCTATTCATTATAAAATGAATTTTAAATTATTATGTTTTGTTCTTTCTGGTTACAGGAGCAACACACCTTTCCTGTACGAGTTAAAAGAAACACAAGTATGTAAGTGACGACATTAAAGCTCTGCAATAACGACCACTGTCAATAGTTTTTAAAAGTGCACACAATAGAAAATAATCATTGCATTTACTGCTTTACAGTTTGTTTCCCTCAAAAAGATTTTATTTTATACTTGCCTTATAAAAAGAATACATTTATATGGTTAAAAAATACAATATATAAAAAAGAATACATTGAAGTCTCCCTGCCTTTCATCTCAGTCCTTCCAAACAGGCGACCACTATTAGATTCTTATGCATTATTCTCTGGAGATCCTTCTGGGTACATGAACCAAAGATGAACTTACTTTCTCATAGTTCCCTTTTCACAGGTAGCTCTGTTCTGTATCTTGCTATTTGATTTTAGGTGGGGGGAGGGGGGTTCCATTTCTTGCTTCATAGCTGATTAACAGGTCTGTCCAGAAGGTATCCAGCCATGTAATATGAAAAATAGAGACATTTATCGAAGAAGATACAAGATACAAGAACTATTGTACATAGGACAATGATGCCTCAGTCCCCTTCAAAGTGGGCACCTTGGGACCTTACACAGTTCTCCCAATTGTAATCAGTTGCCCGGTCATATTTTCTTGAATCTCATCAAGGGTCTGAAATCTCTTCCCTTCCAAATGTGATTTTAGTTTTGGGAAAAGCCAGAAGTCGCAGAGCGCCAAATCTGGGCTACAGTGGGACTGAGTCACCTGGGTTGCCAATCTTTGTTGATTGTAGCTGGTATATGTTCAACAGTCTCAGGTTTTCTGCTTGTTGTAGGCCTTCCAGAACATGGATCACTGTCAACAGATCTCAACCATCTTTGAAGTGTTTGTGCTGTACTTTTATTTGTTGCTGCACTCATTACATCATCTCTGAAAGCCTTCTGAATCATCCGAATAGTTTCCGCGGAGCAATGTTCAGGCTAATGCAAAATTTGAGCAGATTTGTTGCTCTACTTGCTCAGTCATTTTGAATGAAACAGCCACACAGTACACATGCTCACTCAACAGGGTCTACCACTCCCACTGACCAGTACAGTGAAGTCGTCATTGTTC